CATTTAATTATATATATATATATATATATATATATATATATATATTCAGTGTCTTTCTCCTAGACCAGTTGCCATCCAAGGCTATAGAATCCAGTCTGTCCTATTTAACCCATAGCTAGAGGGAGAAGAATAGGATTCACACCTTTCCCAAGGGTATTAGCACGTAAGTGAATGTAATGGATTCAACCTGGATTCGAACTCAGATTCAAAACCTGAGGCGGGGTTGTTTGGGGACCTTGTGGCACGCAGTGCACCAGGTCTCTGTATTCGGCCCTTCAAAAAGTGTTGATGGTCCTGCACCTAAACCTTCACCACTATAATCGAATGTCATGTGCCGGTGTCGGGCTATCAGTTACCTGGAAACTGATCTGCTTAACCCTCGATTTTTATATATATATATATATATATATATATATATATATATAAAAACAAAATTATGATTCAATTATGTAAAACTATGCTAAATCCAGCTTCTAATGCTCTTGATGGAGCAGCTTAAAGGAAGTCATTGCTTTTCGGGCCTGTCGTGTGGGTTACGTATAGTTGGATGATTATCATCACCGGAAATAAGATAAGCTGCATTATATTGTGTTTAGTTACTTTATTTCCTCTTCATCACCGAGGCCTACTGGTTCAATAGTATGATGTTTGCATTGTATCATAACAGTCCAGGTTTGATTTTTGGTAGTGGATGTGCACTGCTGATGAGTCCCCCAAAATAGGACAAAACGGCTGCCCAGTGTTTTACTGCATTCTGTTGAGGTTTCTATGTCTAGACATGATGAATTGTTATGAAAAATTATTCAAAACCCCAAAATTACTATTCAGTTATATATACAGAAAAACTTACCAGACTCCATCTGAAACATACTAGTAGAAATACAAGCATAATAACCTCATCCACATGTTTTTTTTTTTTTTTTAAAAAAAAAAAAAAAAAAAAGCCAGTATGCAATAACATTAACTATGAACATGGCCACAATGTACTGACTGTGTTTAAAAGATAAAAAATTTATTTCCCTATAACTATATATACATACATAACACAATCCATACATTCAATTAAAAGTAAAAATAAAATCCTCCTTCCTAAAAGAAAGTGATCAGAAATACGGAATCTTTTGGACAGTTTTTACATTGTGTCCAGAAAAGAAAACACTTGTATGAACACAAGAAAGATTACTAAAATCTCTATAGTCACACTGTCTGTTGGTGCTAATTCTTGGAACAGGGCTCAAAGTCATGGGGTTCTCTTGGCAGTAAGTCACGTGGAGATCAGTAGCACTTTTGTCTGCTCATCATTGCTTTTTGCTTGTCTCTCTCTGGGTCACCTAAGCACACTGCTTATATTGACTAAAGACTGGAGTGCAGTTGACAGTATTTGGGAATCTGGTGATTCTTCAGGTTTCTGTATCAATTTGAACAAGAGTTTTTTGTTATCTGGTTTGCAATATTAATTATCTTTACAAATTTAGGAGAACCATTCACCTTACTGGTGGTGCTTGCAGGTATTGCCACACTCTTATAGCTCATTCTTTCTCTTATTTATGCCTTGTACCATTACTTCCAAATGGGCGGAGGTAATTTCTTATGCTTCCTTCTCCTCTCTTGATATTTCATCTTGGCCCACTGCTTCAGCTGTCTCTTTGACAAATCTGATTTTTAAACAGAGTGGGCAAAAGGGAGGTTCTTACTTTTAATTATTAATTGTAATTATCTTAATTTTCAACAATGAATTTTCTCAGTCCCTATTTCTGTTTATTCAAGCAAACATTTACCAGCTGTTCTGCCAACTCACTATTAGCAAAACTTGTCTTCATATTTTTTTTTTTGTTTAATCATACTCCAGAACCTTACAGGCCCATTTCGTATTTCAAGTTCTTTGAGCGAAGGATAAAATCCTATTTCTTGATTTGTTTACATTTCCAAAAGTGGCAATGTTATTTGCGCTCTTTGACAGGCAGGCATAAATCAGTTTCTTGATTCCGCCTTTGTCTTTGAAATTACCAAATAATAATATATCAGTTAACCTCTTCTTCTGTCTGGTAATCATGAGACCTGTTTTTGTAACTTCCACTTGAATTAAGCGGACATAAATTAATTTCTCAATTTCTGTTTCTGTTTCCAAAAGTCTCACCTAACCTCAAATATACTTTCACTATTCCTTCTTTGACCTCGTTGGTTGAAGCCTTCCATATGGTAATATCTTCCTCAAAACCAATAAAGTCATTCTTTTCAGGCCTGTCTTTTCTTCAAGCTAGATTTTCGATAGGAAATGATTTTGTTCTTTCTTTGAGTTTATATGTTTTCCATACTTTTTACCCTCTCTGTCTATTCGAGTTCATATTTTAAATGAACCCTTTTCCTTTACCAGTATCGCATTATATTACGCGTGTTCTTAAATTTAAAAATTTTGAAAAATTAACATATTTCGTTTATAAATACTTGCAAAATAAAATCTTTACATTTGCCTTGATAAAATCCATCAGAGGAAAAATGCATCAGCTAAGATAAGTTTTCCTTTGGTCTCTCTCTCTCTATATATATATATGTGTGTGTGTGTGTGTGTGTATATATATATATATATATATATATATATATATATACAAATTTAAAATTTGTCACTTATCTGATTGGTGTTACCTTCAGTAGCCAGACTCCAGAGTTTCGTAGACAGACCCTCCAACAACCATTCTGTCCACTCGTTAGGGTGTATCAAGAATTATAGTAAATTTTTTAAATGGAATTTTTTTTTTTTTTTTTTTTCTGACGTTATTTCTTATTAATATAAACATTTTTACTGAGTTCACGTGTCTGAATTGATATCCTTGTTCTTCATTTTTTTAAACGATGGTCAATCTATGCTGGTTGGTATCAATCTATGTTGGTTAGTATTGTTTAAGAAAATAAAACTATAAGAGCAACAAGGATATCAACTCAAACATGTGTACCGACAAAAATAATGTTTATAGTAACACACACACATGGGGTGGTGAAAAGTTCTTGGCTTGAACAAGATGCCTTTCCACTTTCAAAAACTGATGTTTGATCAAATTTTGCGAATTAGATCAAGCTGAGAACTTTTCATCATGCTCCATTGTGCATAATCTTTGTAATCCATCACACGTGCATAATACAAGTAACAACAGAAAGACTTCAACATAAAATAATAATATAGTATTTAATTACCAAAACGCAATTAAAATACATTGACGTCAAAGAAGTAAAGATTATTGATTACTTATCAGTTAATACCTGACTGCTTGGAGCTGCTAAGAAAAGTACTAATCCATCTTGAAATGCGTAACTTGACTTTAATGTCCAGGTTAACAGAATAGTCAAACATGTAATTGAAACGCTAGTCAGTGTCATGATATCTATATTTATATTAAATGGCTGTCTATGTTTCATTGTCTAGAGATCACGTTCAAACTCCAGTGTCAGCAGTGACATTTTTCATTCATATATGACATTCAGTCAGTCAGTTATGTACCATGTGCGTTATACACGTAGGCGATCATGTATCTTTCGATACATGACTGACAAGGCAGATTTTTTTCCCGCAGTAGGTTGCCATTTCTTTCTGCAGTAGATCAGTTGCTACTCAAGGCTATAAAACCTGGTTTGTCCTGCTATTTATCCATAGATGGGGAGAGAAGAGGATTCATACCTTTCCCAAGGGTATTAGCACATAAGTGAATGTAATGGATTTGACTGGAATTCAGACTCGACTCTCTGATTCCTCAATCTAAGCTGCTATCCATTACTTCACCGTGCTTCCTATATGACAATAATATATGCCAAGCTCACTTCCCAAATGACCAAACATCTGAATTTTGTTTTGGATAGGCTTCTTGGTTGGACTGATATTGTTACATGTTGTAATTCATGGCTGGAAGGATCAGTTTATTATTTAATACCAATAGAAAACCGATCCCTCACTTAATGTTCATCATAATCATATAAATACTGAAGTGATACTGAATGCTTCTTGACCCAACCCGCTTTAAAAATCTGACCAATTGTTTTTGGTTGTGCCATGAATTTTTCAGTACCTCCTTGAATATAAAGTAAAGTGCACAGAAAGTTAGACACAGAAATACACTGGATGTTTTCACCTTTCCCTGCTTGTAAAAATGGAGTCAACTAGAAGGTGACAACGTTACCTCATAGGTAAAGAAGTAGTGTAGCAGTGGCAACTGTGAGATATGGACTCTAGTACTTTCTAGATAATATTGCTGTGATTGGCATATTGTTTTTCAAAGCATTGTAGTTGTTTGATGGCAACTGTAGTCTTCCCGTTGCATGTAAGAATTTCTGAATTAGCTGCAAGCTATCACTTCAGTAAAATTAGCCGTTTACATACAAGAAACATTCAGCATTTAGAAGATTTAGTGTTACTTTTGGTTTGAATCTATAAAATCTTGAGGTTTTCAGTAAATTAAACTTCTCAAGCCTACTTGAAAAATCTCCAGGTATACTTTAATTCTATTTCCAGGATTTTTTTTTTTTTCTTTCTGCTGGGGAGGGGTCCCTATTTGATGAGAAATCACTGAAATTCCTTAACTTTTTATTTTTTTATATTTTATTTTTTAATCAGTTCACTCCAAACAAAGTGATAATGCTACTAAAAGGTTACTGGGAAAGAGAGTGAAAAATTTTTTAGAAGGGACCGGAACCCCTAATCCTAAAAGGTAAACAAGTGATAAACCCCTACACCTGTTCAAAAAAATGAGTGTACAGGTTTATCACTTATTTCCATGGCAGTGTGTAAACTGGACAATCTGTCTAATAAATCCTATCCTAAATGAATATTAATTTTCCTTTTTGAATTTTTTTTTTTTTTTCAGTCTCTTCAAATTAAAACAAATGGCTACGAATGACTGTTAAAATGTTTCTTTTTTTTTTTTTAACAATGTATGAATTTTGGTTTCTATTTGAATTTCTTGTTTTCATTATTGAATGAAATCAGTTAATATATATATATTTTTTTTTTCCAGGTTGTTGAGGATGGGTATGAGTTTTTTGCCAAAAGACAATTAGTCACTCTATTTTCAGCTCCTAACTACTGTGGGGAATTTGATAATGCTGGAGGAATGATGTCTGTAGATGAATATCTTCTTTGTTCATTTCAGGTGAGCAGAAAGGCATTGAATTCAATTTAATTTATTCAACTCATTAGTATTCAACATGTTCAAGTCAGTCCTGTAAATATTGGCTGACTGTTTGCGCTTAAAGTCTCACTATTTACGTGACGTCTTGCCCTATTTGCAATGATGTTGTCGTATATTATGGCAGAGTATACATGATGCTTTCAGCACATTATTGAAAAAAAAGTCTATGAAAATATTACTGACAGAATAGGTGCATTTTACAAATAAAATATTACATTTGTTTTCATAGTAATTTTCTCATTCTTTTATTTGTAATTACATATCTTTTTATTTTTTGATAAATTTTAAGAATTAAAGCATGTGGCACCCAGCCGTTGGCCCATGGTCAAGTCTCAGTCGTGGCATGAAGCTGTAATGTTTCTTCTACTGGTGTTTTGAGGTTGGCCCTTTGTCGCTGCCACCAGCCTGTGTCCTGGTCGATCGGTGGTTGTCACTACTCGGCAAAATTCCCTGGTCAGGATACCAATATGGGACAACGGCCCATCAATAGTCAAAGTCTAGTCGTCGATGTTAACGGTTTCACCAGCTGTACCAGTTCAATACCAACTCTATCGTTCCCAGCTCACTTGCAACGTCTGGTTATTGGAGTAACTGCTTCGATCTCAAGTCTAACCTACCCATGTTGTGACTTTGATCTTAGGTAGACGAGATCAATCAGGCGTTGGGCTGTAGTGTGAGCTGAGTCCAGATCGAAGGTGGTATCACACAAGCGCAAAGAAGAAAAAAATAAAGAAAAACCCAAGAGGTTCAAGTATGTTAAGAAATAACAATTTAATTTATCCTTCTGTTATATACAGGAGTGTGTTTTTCTCCCAGCCTGTTTCCTATGAAATGTGACACTTTTACACTTCTTAGGCAAGTTCTGGTCCTCTGGTTTAGTTTTTAGGTATTGGCTTGGCTTCGTTCATCAGTATAACTTGCTATTGGTAGGTTAGGCGGAGTCGGAGGTCGTGGAATCTCTTGGTCAGCTTCTGCGAGGCAACACTCTGGTTAGCTCTGACTCCAACTTAACTCAAACTCAACTGGAACTAACTGACTCAACTAACGAACGAACGAACAACCACAGGACGTTCATTTATATGAGTACCGACCAAAATCCGGTGTGGGCCAGAGGTGGCATGGGGTTCTTGGTAAATCTCGATTTCTAACAAGAAATCTCTGTTGTCAGACCAGGAAAATTGATTACTTCCCATTTTTGGAAAATTAATCACTTTCCATTTTGGGGGGGTTCTCTGTCATCCGTGAGGGAAGGTCGGAGAAGAGTTATCCTCCTAGACTCTTTCTCTCTCCCATTGATATCTCATACCAATCCTTTCAGGGGGCATTAACAACTTCTCTGCCTCTCTCCTCCATTCACCTCCACCTATCACCTATGACACCACTTGATCAATAGCGTTCCGGCAGTGTGGGTGTGGCTAAGCTGGCCTCCTTAAAATTATAATCTAGAATTTTTGTTTACAAAATTCTCCTTTCCCATCGGCCAAAATTTTTACGAATTGCCAATTAAATTTTTATCATATCTTCTCTTTATCCTGGGTCACCCAAAAGTCACTTAGCCAGTACTCTTTACTGTCTCCATCAATCAATGTTTGCCATCTGGTCCTTATGTTAAGTTAGCTTTATAATGGAATCCTTGACTTAAGAAATTAAATTCTTTTATCTCGCCAAATCTCAATTCTCCACTCTATTTTCTATCTCGTGCCAAAATTTTACAATTTCCACATTGCTATTCAGCATCTTGGCGTCTGTTGGTAAAGTAAATGACAACAATCCTTTCAACTATATTGAGACAATGCCAAAATTTTATAATTGCCACATTGCTTCTCTTCGCCTGTATCCATGAAAAAAAAAAAAGAAGATATCTTGGAAAGATAATTAACATTGATTCTCCCTGTCCTGTATCTGTTATCGTCCCGAGCCGAAATTTTTATGACCGGCATGTGTTTTGGCCAAAATCTTAATATTTGCCTTTCATTCTATCTCCCTCGGTGAGACAAATCAACAAGACCTCACACGTGGCCTCTTCCACAGCCTTTACTGTTTTTGTGAAAAATATCTTTTTTTTTCATAAATAGAATTAAAATCTTTTTTTTTTTTTTTCATCGATCAGTTTGTCTTTCAAGATAGCATTTTCCCCTTTAAGAATTTCTATTTTCTGTTTTAATTTCTATGGTTAATTAGTTAGCCAATTACCATAGCTAAATAGTTTCACAGCAGGTGTATGTATAGAGAGTTTGACGAAGTGTTTATAATTAAATTATCAATTAGGTTACCTTTTATAATTTGTGTAAATTTGAATTTCTCAAGTGATTTTTTTATTTGTTTTAAATCTTATTTAATAGTCATTATTTTTCTATAATCTGTATCTTTGTAGATTCTAAAGCCATCTGAAAAGAAAGCCAAGTACCAATATGGTGGTTTGAACTCTGGTCGACCAAATACTCCACCAAGGGCTCTACAACAAAAGAAGAAGGGACAAATTTGATGGACCATTTTTCTGTACATGTCTGTATACATACACCCGTGATACATACATAGACATCCCACCTGTTGGCACCAGGTAGAGATTCTCTGGGATACAGACGTTCTTGAAAACCATTTTTTTTTCTCTTTCAAATCTTCTTTCAAAAGGTCCACAAGTATATACTCAATTAAGATGAGTATGTTTAAATTATGTTGTTTTTTGGTTCAGAGAGTAAGGAGATGAATAACGTTTCTCTGGATATCATATTGGGTTGTTGGTTGTGTGTGTATGTGCATATATATATATATATATATATATATATGATTATAAAAATGAAAGAGTGTGGGTGAAAAGATTCTTGTTCTAACTCGTGTGTCAAAATCAGTATTATAATGTTTGTTCATTAAAATATTAGTTTTGACCCAAAACCTTTCTAGAACTTTGTGTGTAAAAGAAATGATATTAAAATAACCCAACAAATTAGTTTAAAACAAAACAAAAAAACGGAAAGCATCAGTTGTAAAGAATATTTTTATTTTTTTTTTAACTTATTTATATATATATGCATCTTTCCACTAACCTTCAAATTCTCTTCAAGATTATATATATATATATATATATATATATATATATATATATATATATAATCAGTAAAATTCTTGTAACTTAGTCATTACATAACCTGATAATAAGCTTTAAATATTAATTACTATATTTCATTTTTTTTTTTTTCTCTTTCTTTAAAATTGGTTTATCCAGTTATCTGATGGAAAACAGTGTACTTGATGGACAAAGAAGGCATAAGATTAGATACGGAAGAAGAAAAAAAACACCAAAAAAAAAAAATTCTCTCTCTCTCTCTCTCCTTCTGTACATATCACTTTCGGATAGGTGAGTAATGGAAAAAAGAAAAAAACTCATGAAAGGAGTCTAATGACAAAAAATATATACAGCTCCTGTTCCAACTGCATTTTATAAATTAGCAATAGTCATGCACTGTAATTTTTTTTTCTCAAATCTAATACTTACTATTACAGATCCCACTATGTACTATCATCACCACGATACTATTGCTAATACAACCTATTATCACTACTACTGCTATAGTAAAATGTAAAAATGAAAAAAAAAAAATCAAAGGAAACAGAAATAAGGGAGGTAATTACAATAAAATGAACGAGTTGCGTCCCTTGATCAGAGCGTGAAAGAAAATAAGTCAGTCGGCCAGCCAGACGGACAGGCACAACTTTGCATTATGAGGCTAATATGTAAAAGAAAATAATTTGGTGCTTAGTTAATTTTTTTTATTTTTATTTTTTTTATTTATTTTTTTTTTTTTTTAGGTTTTCATCTCCCATTCACTTTACGAAATCGTCAACATCTGATTTTACCAAACTGCTGCTCTTTTTGGTTCATTCAGCTAAATTCTTTACAAAGAGTAATAAAACAAATGAAAACAATAAATGAAAAAAAAAAAAAAGGAAAGTAAAACACCCCAAATGCTAACCAACAAGATTTCAGTTTCCTTTTCGTTTTCATTTTTTTTTTTTAAATTGCAATTTTTTATAGTTTTATACTTTTTTGTACATAATTCATTAAAATTTAAAATATTTACATTTGCTCTTATTTTAACTTTTTTATGTTTTTTATCCAATTTTATTTTTTTTTTATTTGTTGAACCACCAATTTCTTTTTTATTTTTTACTTTTGTTCTTATTGATACTTAATATTAATTTTTTTCCCTTTGTCTTTATTTAAATGTATATATTTTGTTTGGAAAAAAAAATGTTCCTGATGTCTGACAGACATTTGTTCTAAGTGCTCACTGACAAAATTAGACTCTTGAGAAATCATGCCTTCATGTGTAATCAGTGAAATCAAAAACTTTTCAGATTAAACTTAATTTTATTTTGATAATGCTCAGTCAGGAGTGAAATTTTTTTGTTTTTATTATAGCACCAAAATTTACTGTTAATTTTTTTTTAAATTTCTTGCAAAAAAGGTTTTGTATGGATAAAATAATATGGTTCTCTCTGAACATTAAACCGCCCCCCCCCTGCCAATTTAAAACCTGAATTCATATAGACTTTTCTAACTCAAATGAAAAGCTTTAAAATTGTTTTAACAGTTCAAATAATGGCTTTTATATTAACACTACAAAGTCAGGTCAGAAATGTTGCATTTATTCCAGGTTGAATAACATTTACAACTAGTTCTTTTTTTTATTTTTTTTTTATTTGCTTTTATCAGTGTTTGAAATACAGGGACACTTTCTTGGATAGCCTCTGCTATTCAGTTATTGTTAGCATATTAAACTATGTGGGGTCAGTAAAAATGAATACTGTGTGCCAAGAAATGAGTC